AACGCGAGTCAATTTATCATAAACATTTATTGTAATGATAATTAGTATATTAGTAATGATTAAACAATGTGAACTTAGCTTGAATACCGTAGTGTCATCATTGTGAATTATTAATTCAATTATATATTTTATATTATAAAAGTATATGGGCAAATGTCACATGGTATCACCATATTCAATTTTTTTTTCATTTAAACATTTTCAAATTAGTATTTGTAGTTTTTGAAATTTTATCATAGAATTATACTAATTACAGTAATTATAAGAAATTAAGTATATAACTTGTATTTTGAATTCGCTTTCTATTTGGGAGTAAAACTACCAGAGATGGAGGGAAATTTGATCACACTATCTTTTACAAATGGTGCAATGAGAAACTCAGGAAGGGAATCCAAATCCTTGAAACGTGCATTTTAAGTATTACAAAAATAAAACAAAAAAATATACAAAAAATATATTGCAAAATATTTTAAATTAAAATTAATATATATATATATATATATATATATATATATATATATAAAATAAGAAAAAAAAATCATTCTTTATATATTAAAGTGTGATTCCAAGTAGAGTGTCAGACCCATTAAAAATCCATCCAAAACTCCAACTGAGTGGAAGACAAGTATCGAGGAAGGGGAGCTGGAAAACAGAAAGTGGAAAACAGGTGTGAGTAGTGGAGTGGCCGTTCGGTTTTGACGGTAGGAGTAAAACTCTAAGTTTTCAAAAATTCACGCCACTCTCTCCATGCAACCATCTTCTTTAACCTTCTGAAACTCCATGCTTCTCCTCCTTCTCTCTAAGATATCTTCATTTTCTCTCTACGAAATCTTACTCTTTTCTTCCTCCGATCATCAAACAGACCACACCTGAGCATTCCCGACGTCGAGGGCATTCGTTTGAACCGATCAGTTTTCGATTCCGAGCTGGTAAGTTCATCTCTCCCTCAGCCGTGTGGTTTCCTGGACATGCAACCCAAGTTCTTGTTTCATGTGTTGATCACTCTTCTAAAAAGAGTGATTCTGATAGTGTTTTGATTTTTACTTGATTTAGTTTCGGAAGTTGTCGAGCGTTGAGGGTAGAAGGATTGGTAGAGGTGAACTAGTAACCATATCTGTGAGCGTTCGGTCACGTTAAGAGGTAAGGGAAGCTTATATAATTTGATTTATTTTGTTGCTTTGAACGAATGCATGTTCGTTGATTGCTGAATGAATATGAAATATGACTGTTACTGCATTGTTGGTTGTATGAGTATATGAATCTAAGAGATGAGAAACTGGAATGATATTGTGTTTGATGATTTGGTTGATGATGAAATATGATATGTTGTTTAAAAGTATTGATGATTAATGAAAGCCATGAAATGGGTAGGGATGTTGTCGAGAGTCAGTATTGACCATTCAAATATACAAGCGTTCGTTCTCAGTAGCGTTCGTTCTTAATAAGTGTTTGGTATTAGACCATGTTGTCGAGAGTCAGTATTGACCATTTAATTATACAAGCGTTCGTTCTCAGTAGCTTTCGTTCTTAATAAGTGTTTGGTATTAGACCCTGTTGTCGAAGTCAGTATTGACCATTCAATTATACAAGCATTCGTTCTCAATAGCATTTGTTCTTAATAAGTGTTTAGTATTAGACCATGTTGTCGAGAGTCAGTATTGATCATTTAATTATACAAGCGTTCGTTCTCAGTAGCGTTCGTTCTTAATAAGTGTTTGGTATTAGACCCTATTGTCGAGAGTCAGTATTGACCATTCAATTATACAAGTGTTCATTCTCAGTAGCGTTCGTTCTTAACAAGTGTTTGGTATTAGACCAGCGCTCGTTCGATATAGTGTTCGGTTTTCTTGTGGACTCGGTTGGAGCTGGATTCTTTCATTTGGAGATAATTCTAGTTGAAGACTAGCGTCTTCGTTTCGTTTTGTAATATTTGTACTTAAGCATTCAGCCAAGGATATTTGTTCCTTGGTATTTGATTATAAACTTCAGTATATTTATATGTATTTGTATATTTCGTTCGTTCTTGAACATTAGTTTAATGATATCTTATATTTATCAAGCCTTTATTCTATAAATTAAGTAGTGCTCGGTCTTACACCAAGCGCTCGTACTAAGTAGTGCTCGGTCTTACACTAAGCGCTCGTACTAAGTGCTCGGTCTTACACCAGACGCTAGTTCTAATTTCCGTAATCTATCTTTATAATAAGAGTGTTCGTCCAAACTCAATAGCGTTCGCTCTCTACAGTGCCCGGTCTTCGACTGGCATTCGGTTTCCTTGATGTTTAACTCATTAAGAAGCTAAGTATTTATTGGCGTTCGGTTTCTTCATATGATTCTGTCAAGTGTTATTATTTGATGTTCTATAATATCTGTCATAATCGGTTTCAGCCTAGAGTCTTAGTACTCGGCCTAGGCTTTACGGTGTTCGGTTTGAAATCTCAAGAGTTAGTTCATTAAATTGGCTCACTTGGAAAATAACGTTCGATTCTATTGGTCTTTGAGAAGTATTATTGTATTTGGTCCCTTTCACAACAAGTGAGTAACTCTCTCGATTTGATTAGTTTTGAGTTGGAGACATCTCAGTCTCACTCCAAGTTTTCAGTCTCGTTCTGGGTTAAAAACTAACGTTCGGTATTTGGTATCCTACGGGATCTTTATTCAAATTGGTTAAGTTGAAGTTTTAATGATGAAAGATGATGGAATATGATATGGATGAAATGACTTTGATTATGAAAGAGTATTCCAGGGAGGAATATCTCACGAATGGATATTGGAAATTGGTAAAGTATGAATGTGGATAAAGCTAAGCTGGCGGTTCATCCTGATATTCCGTGATTACTTGTTTCTCACGTAGAGAAAGGTAAGTCATGTGCTGGAATGGCAGGAGGTCTTAATCCTTATGGTTAATTTGGACAGATAGGACTAACCTCGGGTGACAACTGTTGAGGATATCTCAGTTACTACATCACTCGGGTGCACGAACGTTGTAGCTACACAAAATTCATACAGTCCGGACAGTCAGAGTCTAGTATTAGGCTTTGCATGAAAGAGTTAATGATTTATCTTGTTTAGTTGATTGTGTGAAATATATGTTGATACTTGAATTAAATTACATAAACTTACCCTATTTCTTGTCTTGTCATGTATTCCCATTCGTTCGTCCTTGTCATTGCGATGATCACCCTATGGGTGGGAGCAGAAGGAGAAGAGTTGCTGGAAGAAGCATTGGAAGAGACGAACATGAAGGTCGAACCTTAGGACGCTCGGTCAGTTGTTGGCCTACTCTTTTGTAGGAGCGTTCGATCATGCGTTTACTTTATCTTTTGATTTGACCGTTCAGCATAGGAAAGGTTATAAGTTGTTCGTCCTATATTTGTAGCCATTTGTGCAGTTTTAACTCCCTACTATATTTGTAAGGTCGTTCGACCATAACCGTACGTCCTATCTTTTGTAATAACTAAACTGTAATATTATTATATGTGATCATTCTATTATATGGTTTTACAGTGTATTTTTGAGATGTTACATAGGGCATATACATCCATAATAGTAAATACTATAAACAAAAAAAATGAAGAATAATATTTAACTAAATTGGGTAAGCCTACCCATAACAAAGCACAATAAAAAAATATGATTATAATATGATCAACTCAATGTAATAAAAATACAAAATACAAAAGAAATATAAAAACATAAATGCAAAATCACTTACACTGGTTTAACTAGTATCTTTTATGATATTTATCACGTTATACTAGTTTCTAACCTTTCTTTTTTCATATATATACTCTTTGTCTTTAAAATATTGATTAAATTTCGTAACGTTTTTTTTTTCTGTATGGAATAATTTTACCTTATCCTATTTCTTAACAGAGCTAACTCTATTCAATAAAATATGACAACATAAAAAGCTGCAGTCTTCAAAGTGCATGTGACCATGAAGCCTGAAATATCACATTTAATTTGTATAGGATCACAATGAGATCAAACATAAGAGATTTCTGTCAGTCCAAAATATTTTAGCATGCAAAAACAGACAAGTAATAGAAGAAAAGAAGAAATGACTATCATTTAAACCAAATTCAATCTATGATAGTCTTATGGATCTTGAAAAATCCTCAACAGGCACTATCTAGAACAAATTCAAGATGTTGAGATGCAGAACCGAGCACAAAGAGTTCTGACAAATGGTTAAAATGTAAATCTTTCGAATTGCAATTCTGCTTTTGATTACCAAAGCATGTTAGGTTTTTTCAACTCACAGTTACAGCACATGTGGAAGCTGTTTATGCTTGCCCCGATAATAGATAAAAGAAAATTAGACCCCAAGTTATGACAAATTATTATAATAGGATATGTACATCAAAATAAAGACTAGACAACAAAAATGGAATATGGTCAGAAATAATTATCTGCATTCACAGATTAAACATTTATCTTAAACAAAGACTTGAACCTAAACTATTCACGGAAATTATGTGCTTGTCTATCGTACTGTTTGATTAAATATATAACTTCTCAAATATAATCTAATTTTTCAATACATGAACAAGACAGTTATTTTTCCATGATATGATACTTAGCAACAATGACAAGATCCCACATTAAAACAGACTATATAGAGACGGACTCTGACAAGATTAACTTAATTTCCGTAAGTCCGGGGATAGGCCATTGAAAGTTTGTGTCCAAAAAATAAAATAAAAGACAGTTATACTATATCTATGGGACAATTATGATTTTAGACGTGGCAGTTATTTTTGGTATCAATAGGCAGTTATTTTTGGTAACAATAGGCAGTTATTTTCTCAGACGGGCAGACACAAAGCTTATCACCACATGATATTTCTACTAAGCATGTTTTAAATAGTAAATTATTGTAACAATCTCGATTTCACACGCACGAGCTACATACATACATACATATATATATATATATATATAATATACACACCACACGTGTGGTGTATGTATACACAAATGAAAATAATAGGAAATAGTAGAAATAGAAAATAATTCTAAACTTCTATATAAAATTACTAGACAAGGTCAATCTAAAGTGAGGAGCAGGGGAAAGAAATAATGACTGTTGAAAGTACTTAAGTACATACTATCTTGCGCTGAAAACTGGTTCCGCATCAGGCGATGGTTGCGTCCTTCGAGTGTATTTGAGTAGCAAACCTTCTGAAGAAAGACCTGGTATCTTCAGATCTCTGAAACATCTCAAAATAGGTTAACTCAAAGCCAAAAGATATGACACATTTTAAGGTAAAAAATATGGCATGTTCACCTGACATACGGCTGCAGATCTTTCCATTCCCATTTTGTCCTCTCTCTGAAAAGAATGGTGAACGCTCAGCTGGAGTCGAAGGCAAAGATGCGACGCTGAAGGCACGAATCCATGTCTCAACTCCAACTCTCTCTATTAATACCTCTCCTTCCACAAGATCAATACTGGGCTGCATTCCATCTGGAACCTTCTGCCTCCATTCATCCATGAAACTCTCTAACTTCCTTTTACCCCCTTTCAGGATTTCTCTTGCAAAATGGATACATACTCGCTTCTCGTCCAATTTCCAGGCACAGCCAGGCATGCCTTCATTTACTTTGGTGCCATATGTATGGAAACAATGCCTTGCTAGCACCCCAGGAAATCCATCTGATACCAGTGTACTCACAACTTCATCTTCGTTTAAAGCATTAAGTGACCAATCATTTAACACCGAATTTTTCAAAAGCATTCCAAGAATCATGTCCATGTAACTCCCATCTACTAATCTCCAATATCCATTAATCTCCACTGCGGAAAGAGCCTGCAGTCCAGACCTTAACTCCTCATCACTAGCTTGGATATTGTGGACAAGATCATTCCAGCTATATAATCCTATTGTAGATTCCTGGTTGTCTTCTAAATTTCCCACATCATAGTCCTCAAAATTGTAAGTCTTTTCTAATAGTAAAGACTTAAGTTTATCAAGTCTGGGGGCTGCCTCGACAAGCTCCATATTACAGATACAACTTTGATTACAGATGCAACACTTTCTCTTCTTCCTTATTACTATCATTCTTTTGTGGATTTCACAAAATTCTGAATGATGGCTGGTGTACAAGCAGAACCGAATTGGAAGTTCCAACAAACTTCATAGCATATGTTTTGGATTGAGTACAAAGAACTGCATCTTCATCAGGCTGTCCTCTCAAGACCACCCTGAAATAGAACAAAAATCATATTAAAGCTAAACAAGTACAACTTGGGAGGGCAGGGAAAGAGGTACAAGCAACTGATTTTCGGTCAATGAATACCTTTCATGCAGAACATCTGGGAGAAGTTTCTCATCAAGCTCTAGAAGGAGGAGGTCATCATGAGGACCAAAAAGTGGGTGATATTTAACAGAAATAGATGAACCAGGAGCTACATGTTTAAGAGCTTCTGCTCCTCTTGAACCTGGCTGTGGCGATCCATTACTCCCTCTCACTAAGTATAAAATATTGGTTAAGGAAAAACATGAAGATTTCTTCACATACTACACTATAATGGCATAAGTTAAGGAAAGAAAGGCACAAGTTTTTCATCTATAGCATAGTATAGTATGGGTCGTGCTATTCAGCAAGAAAACAATGAGCATGAATTAATAAAATCAAAACATGTCATACAGAGTATTTTTAAACAAAAAAGTATTATTAAAAATTAAAAGAATTATAGTTACTTAAATACAAATCACCCTTGGTCTGCTTTTGCGGAAATATTAATTTGCAAAGGTTACCAATTCCCTTGAGAGTATAGAGGCTTGGTTCCTTCATTTCTAGATGCTTCTAACAACTTTACAGAAACACTGCATAGTTATAATGCATAGCAATCTATGAATTTCTGTTTTCAAAGTGTATATAAATATTACCATTGATATTAAAATCAAAATAATGACTTAAACATGTTTTTAGACTTTGCATTTGAGTCCTGTAGTTTAAAAAAAAGTTTTGAGTCTCTCTTTTCAAACACCATTTCTAGATAAACAATGTCAAAATGAATATATATTGAAAAGAAAACAAATATATAGTAGGATGTTCAATGATAAGAATTCAAAATCAAAGAAGGTATACAAATTATATACGTGAAATCCTTAGCCGCAATGGCAAAGGGACTAAATAAGAATTTTTCAAATTACAGGGACTAAATATATCAATTTTTAAATACAAAAAAAAAAACTCTCTCAACATATTCAAATCTTAATAGTTTATATTGGCTGTAAAAATTGAAGTTTATAGGAAGAAAATCAGCAGAAACTCAATCGACAAAAAATCATTTAATACTATTAAAGGGGTAGCAAAACCATCACTCAAACTCTCCCCGCAACAACAAAAAATCAGTCTCATTTGTCCACATCATCAACAGATTCCTCTTTTATTTTTTCGGCACTAAAATTTGAAACACTCGACTTCTAAATCCAAAAGAATTAGAACTATTACAGGGTTATTCTTTCAGTTACACAATAAATTACCACATGAATATCATCATCACATGTAATGCTATCAGTCTTGAGGGATAAACAAATATTTTACGAAAAAAAAAATTTCAATTTGAATGAGTAAATGAACAATTGAATAAAATTTGAGGAAATATGTGTGAGTGTGTATGTAATGTAGAGTTATTGATAATCAATATATAAATACTTATTTTAGTCCAGCTCGTGCAATTCATGATTTTTGGTACTATCTCTTATATAGCTTATATGTATATGGGTGGTTTAGGGGCCTCCACAAAGAGGTGTTGGATTAAAAACTTCGTGTGGTATGGTGATGGAAACATCAAAAAATTTTGTTAATATGAACTTAAAATCAAAATATTGCATAATAAGTCTTTAGTTTTTTAATTTGAGTTAATATTGTTTTGGTTCTTCAGTTTTAAAGTTGTTTTGTTTCACTCCAGTAGTTTGAAAAAAGTTTTAGAGTCTCTTTCCAGACACCGCCTCCTACCCAAACAATGTCAAAATGAATACACTGAAGAAACTAGTATATAGTACAATGCTCAATGATGAGAATAAAAAATCAGAGAAGGTTATCGTATATAAACTAACTTTAATTGTCTGCCATATAAGTAAAATCCTCAACAGTAATCAGGGCAAATGGCCTAAATGAACAATGTTAAAATTACAGACGCTGAAATAAATCAATTTCAAATATGAGAGACGAAAAACAAACTTAGCAAACAGATTTAAATCTCAATGGTTTATCTTGGCTTTAACCATTGAAGATTATCAGAAGAAAATCACCAGAAACTCAAATGAGAAAAATGAATTAGATAAGATTAAAGTTATAGCATAACCATCCCACCAATCTCATTTGGTCACATCATCAACAAATTCCTCTTTTATTTTTTTCGGCACTAAAATTTGAAACACTGGACCTCTAAATCCAACAGAATTAGAACTATTGCAGTGTATTCCTTCAATTACTCTAATCCGTGCACGTTTATTAGTAACATTTTAAAATTACTTGGGAGCACAGCATAGCCATAATCAAGCACAAAAACATGCGATAAATTTCAGCATTCCTTCAAATATCTCAATTGAACTAAAGATGCGTACACGTACGCGTGTTGGAGGAAAAAGAGATGAAAAAAATAAGAACCTGAGATGAGAAATGAGATTAGGTTGAGGAACTTGTTAATGGCAACTATGAAACGCGATTGGTTCTTTCTCGGCAGCGAATTCGAACGGAGAAGAAGAAAACCCTTCTCACCTAAACGAAAGTGTGATTTTATAAACGCGCCACTTTTCCTCTGGAGATATTTTGCTTTCAAAATCATATATAATTTTGGAAATTTAAATTATCATAATCATATTCCAAAATCATATTGGTAGTATATATGTAAAATTTTGAATGATAACTCTGTAAACTAAAAAGGGCTATTTCCAGAATCAAATAACTATTGAAATATTAAGGGACCAAAGCGATACTCTTGACTCTAAGATTACGAAAGTTTCTTCTAATGATGAATAAAAATAATTTTAAATTTGAAGGATTGAATAGATCACTTTCAAATTTAAGAAACTAAAACATCACTTTTAAATTTAAATAACTAAAAACAGTCTTTTAAATTTGAAAGATTATAATTGCTTTTAAATTTGAGATACTGAAAAAACAACTTTTAAATATGAAAAACTGAAATAAAACTTAACCTATTTTGCTTATCGTCTTGCAAATTATTTGTTATTGTTTTGCTCGTGTGGTAAAGACATATGCAATGAGATTGTTTGAGCTATTCCACGACAAATTAGTGTTCTGAGGGTAAATTTCAATCTTTGCAAGGTTGAAAATTTATTGGGTTGAATGATTTTATATTGTGGTGGTAGGAGGTGTGTGTTCTTTTGTTCATAATTTGGTTGTTCTTACCTTGGTGACAAGGTGTGTAGGCAATTCTCGAAGGAGAAGACTACAATGTGATTGTGGACAAATGGCTTTCTTAACCACTGAAACAAAGTACTTTGCCATAGCATGAAGAAAGTCTTACTGTTGAGAGGTATAGCCAGAAGGCAAAAGGTGCAGGACCATGTTGTCACTATCTATTATGACTATAACAACATTCTACAATCATCACAGATGTTATGTGTTATTGTGACTTGTGTCTTAGGTATGTGGTTCTTGAAGTAATGGTTACAACACTCTTCAAAGATGGAACGTCTGACACTTGCTCACCAAACTAGGTTAAAAACTTTGACAACATGGGTCAACATACTAAAGAACGTCCACTTGGGTCAACATTGGGTGTGTTAACCTTTGTTGGCCCAATTTGACCAGAAACCCTACACATTTGGCCTAAAATACAAGGCTCAAAAGGAAATCCTAGACTACTTAGTCCATAATACAAGAATCAAATTATTCTACTGTACTATATGCTCTATGATGGTCCATGATGACCCAAGAGAAACTGTTTAGGCCCAGCTTCCACATATTACTTCAACTTTTCTTGAATGTGTTTGATCATGACTAAGGGTATGCCATCAGTGTGAATCAAGTATTGTTCAAACAGGGATCCTAGATTCATTTCTTAATTTTGACAAACGTTACAAAATGCTTTAAGAAGCCGATTGAGGATGAGTACCTTATCATAACATCTTGAAGAAAATATACTAAAACATATAATAAAGTGGTAATACATAGTCCTTGTCACCATAAATTTTTTTCAAATACATTTAGAAGTTTTTCAAAATATAAAACATAACAGGTTGTTTCCTACCACATCATATAACTAGGTCACATGATATAAGCGTACTAAACATTTCTCAAAACACATCCTCAACTTATTGGCTAACACCACTACCACCTGATTTCACTTAACTTAACCAATCTTGAACCAAGTTTCCTTGGATGGGGTAAGTCAACAAGAACCAGATTAACAATTTAAGCATAAGCCTGGACTTACCAATAAGAGCCACAATGTTGAACTTAACACTATATTAATAAACTTCTAATCTATTGTAACCATTAATTCAAGAATTACAAATCCAACACACAGGTCACCATGACACATAAATGCTTTGATAACATAAAATGTAGCAACTTAAGAAAATGGATTTAACCTACTTCCTTGAGTTCCCACAAAGTAGTATTGAGTTGTACTTGATTATAAACATCTTGAAGAAAATATACCTAAGCGTACAATAGAGTGTAATACATAGTCCTTGTTACCACAAATTTGTCTTTCAAATACCTTTTATATTAAGTTTTTCAAAATATAAAACATACAAGGTTATTTTCCTACACCACATCGTTAGCTAGATACATATCTTTAAACGATTATTAAAATGTCGTCCTTAACTTATTGGCTCCACCATNATTAAATTGGCTCACTTGGAAAATAACGTTCGATTCTATTGGTCTTTGAGAAGTATTATTGTATTTGGTCCCTTTCACAACAAGTGAGTAACTCTCTCGATTTGATTAGTTTTGAGTTGGAGACATCTCAGTCTCACTCCAAGTTTTCAGTCTCGTTCTGGGTTAAAAACTAACGTTCGGTATTTGGTATCCTACGGGATCTTTATTCAAATTGGTTAAGTTGAAGTTTTAATGATGAAAGATGATGGAATATGATATGGATGAAATGACTTTGATTATGAAAGAGTATTCCAGGGAGGAATATCTCACGAATGGATATTGGAAATTGGTAAAGTATGAATGTGGATAAAGCTAAGCTGGCGGTTCATCCTGATATTCCGTGATTACTTGTTTCTCACGTAGAGAAAGGTAAGTCATGTGCTGGAATGGCAGGAGGTCTTAATCCTTATGGTTAATTTGGACAGATAGGACTAACCTCGGGTGACAACTGTTGAGGATATCTCAGTTACTACATCACTCGGGTGCACGAACGTTGTAGCTACACAAAATTCATACAGTCCGGACAGTCAGAGTCTAGTATTAGGCTTTGCATGAAAGAGTTAATGATTTATCTTGTTTAGTTGATTGTGTGAAATATATGTTGATACTTGAATTAAATTACATAAACTTACCCTATTTCTTGTCTTGTCATGTATTCCCATTCGTTCGTCCTTGTCATTGCGATGATCACCCTATGGGTGGGAGCAGAAGGAGAAGAGTTGCTGGAAGAAGCATTGGAAGAGACGAACATGAAGGTCGAACCTTAGGACGCTCGGTCAGTTGTTGGCCTACTCTTTTGTAGGAGCGTTCGATCATGCGTTTACTTTATCTTTTGATTTGACCGTTCAGCATAGGAAAGGTTATAAGTTGTTCGTCCTATATTTGTAGCCATTTGTGCAGTTTTAACTCCCTACTATATTTGTAAGGTCGTTCGACCATAACCGTACGTCCTATCTTTTGTAATAACTAAACTGTAATATTATTATATGTGATCATTCTATTATATGGTTTTACAGTGTATTTTTGAGATGTTACATAGGGCATATACATCCATAATAGTAAATACTATAAACAAAAAAAATGAAGAATAATATTTAACTAAATTGGGTAAGCCTACCCATAACAAAGCACAATAAAAAAATATGATTATAATATGATCAACTCAATGTAATAAAAATACAAAATACAAAAGAAATATAAAAACATAAATGCAAAATCACTTACACTGGTTTAACTAGTATCTTTTATGATATTTATCACGTTATACTAGTTTCTAACCTTTCTTTTTTCATATATATACTCTTTGTCTTTAAAATATTGATTAAATTTCGTAACGTTTTTTTTTTCTGTATGGAATAATTTTACCTTATCCTATTTCTTAACAGAGCTAACTCTATTCAATAAAATATGACAACATAAAAAGCTGCAGTCTTCAAAGTGCATGTGACCATGAAGCCTGAAATATCACATTTAATTTGTATAGGATCACAATGAGATCAAACATAAGAGATTTCTGTCAGTCCAAAATATTTTAGCATGCAAAAACAGACAAGTAATAGAAGAAAAGAAGAAATGACTATCATTTAAACCAAATTCAATCTATGATAGTATTATGGATCTTGAAAAATCCTCAAAAGGCACTATCTAGAACAAATTCAAGATGTTGAGATGCAGAACCGAGCACAAAGAGTTCTGACAAATGGTTAAAATGTAAATCTTTCGAATTGCAATTCTGCTTTTGATTACCAAAGCATGTTAGGTTTTTTCAACTCACAGTTACAGCACATGTGGAAGCTGTTTATGCTTGCCCCGATAATAGATAAAAGAAAATTAGACCCCAAGTTATGACAAATTATTATAATAGGATATGTACATCAAAATAAAGACTAGACAACAAAAATGGAATATGGTCAGAAATAATTATCTGCATTCACAGATTAAACATTTATCTTAAACAAAGACTTGAACCTAAACTATTCACGGAAATTATGTGCTTGTCTATCGTACTGTTTGATTAAATATATAA